TATCCGGCTCTGATCGATATATCATGTGATATTTATCGAAAACGTTAGCTGCGTCAAAATAGGCATGCCTCCCTTATACAGTATATATATTTTGCATGTTGTTTTTATAAATAACTCATAATACTAAGAATTTATGTATGTATCTTTAGAACTTGTTAAATTTTACCAATCAAGCTATATAATTAAAAAATGCTAATCGGTTGATATGTAAGTCACACTAAGAGAAACCTGTAAATTGGTGCCTTAAGCCTTTGCTTTTAATTGTAATGTTCCAGAAGGTCCCCAATTTTTTTTCATAGAGCTTCTCTGATTAGCTAAAATTTAAAATGCGATAATTCTTTCTTCGATTAACCGCATTAATCACTCAATTAATCGTAATGATTGGAGTAACATCTCGATCACTAGCTAATCACACTCTAAGTTGAATGATTCTAAAATAATCTCGATTCAATTGCTGAATACCTAAATCAAGTCTAGTGGGTTTTCAGAATTAACTTATTTCGAAAAGAAGTGGGAGTATAAAAGATTCTATTTCTATTTTAAAATTCCGAATCAGGGAATTAAATAGGCGAACCTGGTAATAAAATTAGTTTTTTTTTTTTGATAAATATCTACCGGTAAACGATTATGCAAATAAGTTTATACTTTAAAAAAAAATATAATCTATGGATCATATATTTTGACGTAAATACGTCACTTATTTTATCTGAAATCGGATGCCAAATCATTAATTCTGAAACTCCCCAGTAGGACAACTCTTAAAATGAGTACACAATGCTTAAATTTTGAATAACCGAGCCTTATGCATATTAGTACAATTTTTATTTCTTATTAATTAATCCTACTATCGAAATTATTTGTTAATCATGAAAATAAAAAAAAAAATACAAAATAAAAAAGAATAATATCCGAATAAATTGATTAGATTTAAAATACACCATCTTGAGAGGTTCATTAATAATAACGGAGAAAAAATTTTTAACTGATCTGCTTTATCTCACAATTTGTAAGTGTCATCAAGATATCATAAAAACAAAAAAGCCAGATAGTAATTCATATGTGAAAAGACACTACTTAAATGTAAATTGAAGAAAAAATATTACCTGAAAGAAATTGCTTTTATGAGAAATAATAATTACAATTCCATTTCTTCAACACCATCTTCATCATCGTCACCCAAATACCCATCATAAGAAATTCTGTTATTTTCAACATCAAGGTCTAAATCCATTTCTTCTGAGTCGATCACAGGATCCTCAGGAATGGGAGATAGTTTACCATTATCCATAATTTCAGAAATACGACGTTCATGTACGACTTCCTTGTTTTTTCGAGGGTTTGTTCCTTTTGGCTCCTTATGGAAAAATATAAAAAAATTGACAATAAATTCTAAATCAAAGTAGTGTAGTAATAAATAAAAAGATAATTTTACCGAATTAGAAGGTTCAGTTGGTAACCATGGAGGACGTTGATATAAGACTAATGCCCGAACTGGATTGTCCCTGCATAAATGGTATGTTTTTTGATCGTTTAGAAAGGATACCAAATTCAATTTTTATAGGTTGAATTTAATAATTCAACACATTGATTTACGAGATTATCCGTTAAAAATGCGCACGTCCTCGGGAGTAACAATTCATGCGGTATCTTCTTTAATGATCTTCGAATTTCATGAGGCATTGTGATAGAAGAGGAACACTCATCCTTCACATCACTTTTTTCTTCGGAATCTTCGGATTCATAAGCATCGAGATCAGTAACCATAACAACATGTTTTCGACTCGACGGAGACTTATTTTTTAGTAGATTAGCATCTAAATCGGTTATATCCATTTGCTTAGTATTAGTGACAGAAGAGTCCAATTGAAAGAAAGACATCAAAATATGAGACTAAGTCTATAGCAATAGATTCTTAAATCTCAGAACAGACCTTCTTCGTTGTTATGAAGGCTTAAGGCTGTTAGTTCAGAAGATAAGAACTCGGAAACGTAACGGCGTTTAGCTCGTTCAGTTTCCAACTGATCTATTTCCACTTCAACAGAGTGCTCACGCTTTCTCCGGGAGGGAAGAACATAAAGTGAAATAGAGTTCATATTTCTCTAACCAAGTAAATAAATAGAACTTATTTAAAATTTAAATTTACAGGTATCTGAAAGAATGTAAGAAAATTTAAAGAAAGAAATTGAAAAGCGAATTATAAAGACGCGTTGCTAAACAAGAAATATATAAATATGTTCCAGTAATAAGAGTGGAAAGAAAACCAAGCCTCCGCCACGTGTCTTATAGCATGGATGATCATTCGACAAGTAAGAAATAGACATTCTGCCACAAACTTTTGTGAACCACTAAAATATTAAAAATCAAATGGTTTTCCATTTTGAGCGCATCTTGTGTATCCATTTTTTGTGTACCAGGAATATAAAAAAAACGGTTAGCGTAAAATTAGAGCAACAGTATCTTAAATTATAATGATTTACCAAGATGATCATTACCAATTCTTTTAAGCCTCGATGGTCACAAACTTAATAAAAAAAAAGGTTACATGTGTTTTTTTTTTTTTTTTTTTTTGTTATCTGATTTGACTATCGAATATTAGTGATTTTGATCTTCTACTTCTTTTCCTTTTGATCGTTAAAATACGAGGGATTGGTCATCAGAGCATTTAATAACCTTTTAACATGTAAGCTTTATATGCTTTTTATTTTACCTCAAAACAAAAAGGGAAAAACGCTTACAAGCTTCTTAATTGAATTGATATGTTTCTTTCAAACAGCAGCACCTTACGATCTTTAAAGCTACAATATGAAGCTCTTTGAATCCACACACACCTTTTTTTACAATTGGTCTCATGTTTCAGCTGCAAATTGGTGTAAATATCCAAATGAAAAATGTCCGCACGTTATCGCTATCGATGTATTAGACAGACATGTGGACCCGGAAACCGGTATACTTCGAACGGAAAGATTGATAACATGTCGACAAAATGTACCAAGGCTATTAAGCAGGTTGTGTGGAGGTAACTCAGTGATCTACGCAAGGGAGGTCAGCGAGATTGACCCAAAAAACAAGGTGCTAAGGATGACCAGTTGTAATTTGTCTATGAATAACTTGATTAACGTGTCAGAAACCGTCACATACACAGAAGATCCCTCGGATTCATCAAAGTAAGAAATGAAATTTAAAATAGCTGTTTTAATATCTTTACTTCCATTTCTTGTACTTACTGACAATTTAAAATGTAGAACCTTATTTAAACAAGAGGCTCGTATTAAATGCGGCGAGTCCATTTCACGATTTGCGAATTATATTGAGGATTTTTTTATTCAAAGATTTAGAGATAATGCGGCTATGGGAAAGCAAGGGTTTGAAAATGTTCTAGATCGATTGACTAGGCAAGGAGAAACTCTTTTGCTTCATAAAAAAGTTTAGATTCAGTATTATAAAAAAAAAAAAAAAAACTTCATTTTTAGCAAGACATTCACATTTATTAGAATATAATTGAATATAATTGAAAAGATTATCTTTTCACAAAAGTAATATTACATATTCCTTTTCCATTCAGATCTTTCTACTAATCAACAACTGAAAAAATTTTAATCAAATTTGTCTAAAAAAAAAAAAGGGAAAGAGAAAAAAAAGAAAAAAAAAGAGGACTAAGGTATACCTAAATATTTCAAAAACTTTTAGGTTGACGTCTTATAAATTTACAATGTTAAAAAAAACCACTTTTATAACAGATATGCAAACAAATTTGCTTATATTTTGTCTACACTTTAAAAATGATGATTACATAGAGACGTGATTACTATCCCTTACACCGTCTTGCAGGCTAATTTGCCTGGAAATTTCATGATTGATCTGTGATCAAGCTATCAAATTATATTGAAATGTAGTCTAAATTGACGGTTTAAGGGATAGTCGGCTCAATCTGTCCAATAGAGTCTACTTGATTGTCCTGGTCTTAATGGAATCATACAAATATCGATATTGAAACCATAAATCAAAATAAGTTTCATTTGCATTGATAATCGATTGATTATTGACAGTTGCATAAATCGGATTCCTCCAGACAGTGCTTAGTGAACTACCCCAGTGGCACCGACAGATTTTCATTGATAGACATCGAATTGACCAATTATATTACAAGATCAGGTGTAACGTGTAAATCATGCGTTTTTTTAAAAAAACCGCCTGTAACTAGGGTGCGGGACGGGCCGGGCTAAGCCCGGAAACTTTCGGGTCGGGCCGGGCTTTTGTTCAATTCGGGCTCATAAATTTTGAACCCGCTATTGTTCGGGCCAAGCA